CAGCACCTTGGCTGAACTCTCAGAGTTGATGCTTTCGAGGCTGAGGGCTGGAGATGGGGTGGAGGATGATGGCTCGGAGTGTGACAACCTGGAGATGGGGTGGTGGGCTGCAAAGCAAAGGGAGAGCTCAGGGAGGAACTGGGGGGCAGCCAGGAGAGAAGGGGAGAATGCAAAGGGAGCCAGTGTCTGCCTGTCTTCAGAGAAGACAGAAGGGACCCTCCAGTGCAAAGGTCTTGCCTGCAAATGCTGCACTCCAGTGGGTAGAGAGGACATGGCCAACATGAGCCCCAGCACAACCATCACTGCATAAAGGCCTGGCCTGCCAGGGTCATGCAGAGGTGTCTGGAAAGGGGAAACCTCCAAGGGGCCGCACAGGGGTTGTGGAGGAGGGATAAGGGAATGGGGGGAAGCTCACCTAGCGGGGAAGCACTGGGGGCTCGCGGAGCTGGCCGCTTCTTTGCCTTTGGGCTGCTAGTGGGAGTGATGCCGTACCAGGGGTGGAGAGGTTTGGTAGCAGTCTCGCTCTGCTCCTGCTCAGGTGTGCTCTTTTGGATGGTAGCACTCTCCTCTTCCTCCTCATCCTCCTCCTCAAAGGGGTTGTACGGTTTGGGCTCTGGGGCATCAGACCTGCTCTCCTCACTCCTGGCTTTCCCCACCTCCTCACCATCCTCCTCCTCTGAAGTCCTACTCAGAGTCTCATGGCTGCTGTCTGGGGGAGGAGGGGGAGCTGGCTTCTTCTTGGGCTCTGCTTGCACTAAGGCCATCCATGGCGGGTCCTTGGCTCTCGCAGCAGCTCCAGCACTGGGAGAAGAGAAAGAGAGATCAAGGTGGCAGGGAGCAGAGACAAGGTGGGACAGCGAGGCACAGGAGAAGGGTGGCCCTAGTCTTCCCAAACAGTGTCTCATTCCCTGCAGGCAAACCTTTGGGCCAGAGGGAAGCGCAGCCTGCCTAACGTGCCCGCTGGGCCCAGGGTTTTCGTTTCAGAATCTTACAGCCTCCATCTGCTAAACAGCAGTAAAAGCTGAGCTTTATGGGCATAGCTGTTTTCCCCTCCCCAACATCGTTCCTACTCTGATCCCTGCTCCCCAGGCTGTGGATGAGGGGGCAGTTGAGCTCACATACCTGCTCTCTGTGGTCACACTCCCTTCCTACACTTCAGAGGGCTGTTCATCACCTTATTATCCGAGTGTCCCAGGGACGGGCTCCTCTCTGCTAACAAACCTGGAAGTGCTGCTGCTCCTCTGGGGGAACAGCCCATGGCAAGCCCGCACCACCGCTCAGTGAATCACTGCCCATCAGGAAAGCAGCTGTCCCTTGCCGCACGCACCTGCTCCTTGGCCGTTGTGAACGCGAGGTGCTTGTGCAACCTCTGTCCCAAGAGCAGGCAAGAAGGAACCAACACCAGTGGGCTCCTGGGTAAGAGTCCAGGAGGTGTAAAGGTTGCAGCCAGGCACTCACAACGTCCCTGTGCTGGACCTTTCCTGGGACAAACTCTCTACAAGGCAGAGAAGCGTCCCCTTTTCAGCACCCACAAGCAGGGCCATTTCAGAAGGTACTTGGCAGTCTGCATGTGCCACAGAAACACCTTCTTGAAGCGCCCAAACTCTTCACAAACCCTAAGAGACAAAGGCCCTGGGGGGTACCGACAAACACTGTGTGCCTGACCGTACTGGGCTGGCAGCCATTAGGTAAGGGAAGGGACCTGATCATAGCCTACATCTTCCTAAGAGCAGGGGCTGATGGAGGTGGGAGAAGAGACCAGAGCTGAGCCATCTCCACAGCCCCACGTTGCTATGGGGTTTGCAGGTGATCTGCGAACAGAAGGACGTACCGATCAGAGGAGCAGGGTCTCCCTCGGGGTTTTGGGACAGGGGGGCTGTGTTCAGGTACCCTACCTAGAAAGACACAGGGTCAGACTGTCACAACACCAAAAGGACATGAAGAAAGAGGTTAAATCAACACAAGGCACCTCTTGTACATCTCCCACGGGAAGCTGGCTATTCCCAGTCTCTGAAAACCTCATGGCATTTCTCCCACAGTCGGTGCAGTCACTCAGCCCCAAACATCCCCTTTGATTTTTTTCTCCCCAGCCCACCCCAGGAGCTGCACCTGGAGAACTGAAGTGTCCCTCTGTCCCCACCCCTGCAAACTGCTCTAGCACTGCCACCTTCCCTCCGCACTGGCAGCATTCCCTGGAAAGCTCCGAAGAACTATAAGGGAGCAGGCAGGCACGAAACCTAGAGCTGCTCTCCTCGCTATAGGGATGGCTGGCAATCAAAGGCTCGGTGTCTGAGCCTGAGATTTATTCGGAGGCAGAAGGGCATCAGGCTGCAGAGAAGGAACAAAACCCATCCAACCTGCAGCTGACCACCTTGGGCGCCAAGGAGGGGGAGGGTAACCCCTGCCACCACTGTGCTCTCTTACCATTCACGATGCTGGGTCCACACTCGTTGCCCTCGCCCGGGAGAGTGGACCTGGGCCGAGGGACAGGGTGAGAGGTTGGAGGGGAGAGGGCTGACACGTCGGTGGCCCTCCTTGGGGCAGGGGTGGGCCGCGTGTCTCTGAGATGTCCGTCCAGCGAGCTGGCTTTGTCCTGGGTAAGCACTGTGGGCTTGCTGGGAAGGGGAGGTCTGGGGGGAGTTTGGGAGACGGGTGCCCCGCTGCTTGTGTGAGCAGGAGGCAGCGCTGTCTCTGCTTTGCTGGGTGTGCTGTCCTTCTCCGCTGGGCCAGTTAGCCCTTCCGCAGGTATACGGGTCTCTGCCGTGCTCTCCAGGGAGTCACCGTCGTCCTTCCCCACCTCTGCTCCTGCAGGAAGGGCATCCTCACCCACGCTGCCAGCCCCACTTTCAGTTCTTAGCTCTGGTGACTGTCGGTCTGGGCTGGGTCTCCTCTCCACCTTCCCACTCATGGCCAATTTACCACGATGCTGTGTGCAGACAAAAGTCCCCACCTCTGACCCGGGCTTGTACGACCCCGGGAGCAGCGTGCTGGAGCACTCCTTACACCTGCCAACGAGAAGAGAGAGCCTCGTGAGATGGGGGACACCATCCTGCCCTTCAGGGGAGGCAACACACCTGGGAAATCCTTGCAGGGCCGTGGAGTTAGTTCCCACCCCCTGCTACTAAATCTAGCACGGTCTTGGGGAAGTCATTTGGGAAAGGAGAGGAACAGAGCAACGTCACCATGCCACTCTATGAACCCACGGGGAGTTCACAACTCAAATTCGGCACATGATTGGGTTCCTCCTTCAACTCGGAAAGGATTTTACAGATGTGGAAGGGCAACAGTTTGTACTGGGATATGGCATGGTTTCCAGACCTGGAAAAGTAGAAACTCATAGTTTTCCTGGAAAAGATGCAGCTGGTGGGGGACACAGAGAGCTACAAGATCACAGGTGTTCCTGGGAGGGGGAGAGGGATCAACCAGCCATTCACAGACATGAAACAAGGAGTATCAACTGGAATTAGGGAACAGCAGGTTCAGAACCAGCACAGAGAGGCTACGGGCTGCCTTGAGGGGGCCAAGGGTCCAGGTGGGTTAAAGAATCATCAGACACATTTGGGGCGGGGCAGGGGGATAACACAACACCCCCCCCCCCCCCCCCCCACACTTATTAAATAAAATTACGCCATTTCCAACTCAGGAAATCCCTGCACTGGAGGCCTGAGGAGTAGTCAGGAGAAGCAGCATACAAGCCTAGCCTGGTCTCACACTCACCCTCGCTGGTGCCGACCACAGTCCCCACCAGGGTCAGGACATTTGGCTGGAAGGACGAGGGAAGGATGCAGGAGGGCCGTTCTTACACTTGGCCTTGCCTGTTGAAACTGGGCTAATAGCTTCCCCGTCCTTCACTGTCTGCCACTTCTCTTCGGATCATCCACTCCTTCCCCACTGAGCCTTTGAATCCTCCCTAATGAAGCCTTCCAGGCGCAAATGTAATACACAGCACTGGCAACCAAGTCAGCCCTTTTCCACCCGGGAAGGGAGGCGGAGAGCATACGTGACAGAGAGCCAAGGGCAAGGGGCTGATCAAGCACTCCCATGAAAAACAAACTTGTTCCTTCTTGTCTGAATACCTGGCACTCGCAGCAGCTGGCTGCCCTACACTGCAAGCAGATAATTTTGGTGAGGAATTCTGCTCTAGGTGTCCAGATGACTTGGATTTCCTTTGAAATGCAGAGTAAAAGCGTGAGGACAGGGGCTCTAGAGAGAAGGGGTATGATGAAATGAAGAGGTGGCAAGTTCAGACAAGGGGAGAAAGAGGTTTGTTTTGGTTTTATCTCCGTCAACCCACAGAAAAAGCTGCCTTAGGACAGTCCTGACCAAACAGTGCCCATGAATCAGCGAGGAGGGGGAAGACAAGAAAAACATAAGGAGGCAAAGCACTCAGGATAAAATTACAGGGATCTCACTGCTCAGTCTGAAGGACCACGGGCTGTCCCAAGGCAGACATGGCATCTCTCCTATTCCTGGCCCATGAGCAATGCTGCACACCCACCCCAAAGCTCCTGCTTTTGCCCCAGCTGCAGATGGGGAGCTGGATGGTGACGCTGTTTCTGTGACACAGCCCCAGCTGGGTTAGGCAGGAACTATTTATACAGGTGAATGAGGCCTCCTGTATCTTCCCAGTGGCTCAATATTTCTGTCCACAGATGCCAGCTGTCCACTTGCCAGCTCTTGTCCTGTGGCCCACAGAACAGATCTCATCCCTGCATCATCACAGCAGGGAAAACAAAGTGAAATGACTTCACAGGTGCTGCAGGTAAGGACCTGCACCCAGGGAGTAACCACAGAGCTGCTGACGTCTAATCCCTCATTCCTCGGTTTGGTAACAGTCTGCAGCTCTCCACACGGTCCCCTGTGAGCTCAGCACCACCCCAGGCAGCGTGGGAGCCTGTATATCCAGTTGAGGACGTGGAGTGTAGGTGGAAGGAGGTCTGTAGGATGATGTCCTGGCTTAGACCTCATTGGAAGGTGGTGGCAGGGGTTCTGGGTAGGCAGGTGGTAAAAATACAGAGCATCCTGGTTTATGGAGGTGGGAGAAGCACAAGGGGCTGCGATCCCAAGTCAGTGAAGTGGGAAAGCGCAAGAGAGCAAGGGAGGCAGGGAGTAGGGGAGGCAAGCAGCACAGGGCTGGACACAAGGAGCTAGACGTGGACCTTTGGGACAGGGGGTTGGCAGGCAAAGGGACCCTCTTCAGTATCATTTCAGGCACTATCATTAATGTTCCATGTTCTCCAAGAACAGGGACACACAAAGATGGGGTGCAGCTGGCCAAAGACCTCCAGTTTGCCAAGGAGAGTGGCTGGCCCCCCCACGCCAG